AAAAACAACTTTAATGAAGACTAATAACTCACGGCCATCCAATTTTTCAGTATATAGAGGTGAAACGTATTACTCACAGCATCAAAACATTCTTCACCTCAAGTGCGATATTTAGGTATTCTCATCAGTAAAAATGGCAGCCGTCCAAACCCGGACAAGGTAGCCTAGCCTTCTGGTTCCGACGCTATATCCCTCACTTCTCCATCATAGCTACACCTCTTCACGACCTATTGCTCGAAAATGCGCCATTTAAGTGGACCGAGGCCCAGGAACAAGCATTTTCGGCCCTTAAAAAAGCCGGCACCTCTTCTAATATCTCCAATTTTCGGACAGCCATATGTAATACACACAGACGCCTCCACAAATGGGTTAGGTGCATGCCTGTTGCAATCATACCCGAGAACCCGGGGAGAACACCGATTGCCTGCGCTAGCCGATCACTGAACAAACATGAAAAGAACTATGCAGTGATCGAACTAGAGGCATTGGCAATAGTATTCGCACTGAAGCAATTCTACCCATACAGTAGCGCTCAAAAGTGTTCGGTGAAATGCTTTGGCGCTTTTCCGCTCATAACTTTTTTATTAGTGGACCAAATCGCGCAAAATCTGGATATGTTTAACTAGAGCATATTTCACCCTACCGTACACTATTTGACTGCAATGCTGCAATATCCACGGATGGAGCAAAGTGTCTGTTGCGGTGATGTCAGAAGATCCTTCAGCGTAGGGGGAGGTCGGAAAACAAGTCGAATGGGAAGCTGAGAGTTCTTGACGACGCGGTTCACCTCACGTGCCATTTTGTCGTTGACAAAAGGTACAGTGAGGCTAACACCATCAGCCGTCCTGTGCGGGACCCATGTCCTCGTATTGCCCTCGAAGTATCCATTGCTTTCAAGGATACTTTCAATTTTGGCATCGACAACTGAATCCTTTCGCGTCCCAAGCTTCTCCTTCGTTTTCAAAAGGTTCCGCACGACGTTTGCCTTCATATAAGCAGGATGTGCGCTTCTGGAATGCAACAAGATGTTCGACGAGGCACTTTTTCTATACCATAGGTGTTCCATATGACCTTCACTTATTCGACCTTCACTAGGACCATCATTTGCGATAACACCGAGGGTCAACAACCAAGTAGTTGACGCTGCGCTTTGTGGAGTGCATCAATTTGAATATCAGTTACGCTGGAGAACACATAGTGGACCGACCGTACTTGACCAGCAAGCGACTTTTATGTCACTGATGCCATTTAAAGGAAAGTATATAAGAATACCACCATCTTCGCGCGAAATCGACTCTAAAATTGCGAACCTCGAGCACGAGATTCAACGAGTTTATCGGAACGCGATGAGTGAGCCTTATCGCAGTAATCTGACCCCAACTGAACGCAGAGGGGTGAAGAAACTACTGCAAGCGAAGGAGGTATTGAGGTACACCGTTGGAGACAAGTGCGGCTCCTTCGTAGTGATGCCACAAACGATGGATAAGGCTCTCACCAGCAACGTGCTCTCGGACGACACCGTGTACGAAGAAAGCACTTTGTCCGCTTTTGAATCAGCGTGCAAGAGAGTGAAGAACGTAATGTCGANTGCTCGAAAATGCGCCATTTAAGTGGACCGAGGCCCAGGAACAAGCATTTTCGGCCCTTAAAAAAGCCGGCACCTCTTCTAATATCTCCAATTTTCGGACAGCCATATGTAATACACACAGACGCCTCCACAAATGGGTTAGGTGCATGCCTGTTGCAATCATACCCGAGAACCCGGGGAGAACACCGATTGCCTGCGCTAGCCGATCACTGAACAAACATGAAAAGAACTATGCAGTGATCGAACTAGAGGCATTGGCAATAGTATTCGCACTGAAGCAATTCTACCCATACAGTAGCGCTCAAAAGTGTTCGGTGAAATGCTTTGGCGCTTTTCCGCTCATAACTTTTTTATTAGTGGACCAAATCGCGCAAAATCTGGATATGTTTAACTAGAGCATATTTCACCCTACCCTACACTATTTGACTGCAATGCTGCAATATCCACGGATGGAGCAAAGTGTGTGTTGCGGTAGCAGATTTTGCTAAAAGTAAAGTCGTTGACGTCTGCACTTTTTCACACCTTATAAGCGTTTTTATCTTCTATTGTGTTCGGCGTTACCACTCGTACACTTTAGACATGGCAAAAAGGAAAGAGATTCTAGAAGGGCCATCATCTGCATTTTCAGTCGATTTTGAGTTTATGCTCTTTGGAATATCTGGAACATGATCAGATTGCAGGTTGATAGTGGTAAATATTCACAATACCCCCACGCTCCAAATATAGAAATTTCGCATGATTAGATCCAGTAGGAAAGGAGTTACGATTGAAAAGTACGGCTGAAGAACTATTTCACCGAAGACTTTTGAGCGCTACTGTATGTAGCTAATGCGCGTATCACGCTAGTAACGGATAACGCACCCCTTAAATCACTAATGTTTGATTGTCTGCTTTAATAGGGCATCTCGCCAAATATCAGATCGCGATCCAATCCTACGAGATTTCATTAGGATATCGCGCAGGAAAGCATAACACATTTTGTGATTTTTTGAGTCGTCTCCCCTCACCACGTGTGAATTCGATCATAGCGCGATCTCTTGAAGAGATTCAAGATAGCCAGAGGAATTCGAGATATGGTCTCACATTCGAATTTCTCACTGGAGAACATGAGGAATTGCCGAAAAAATTTGAGAACAAAATCGAACGATTCTCAATTCTCAACGGCTCCCTATAATACACCATTCACGAAAAGGCGAAACTATTTATTCCCGATGCTGACATGCAATCCAACATCATTGCATTATTCCACGGAAATCCTTTACTGGGGTCACATCTGGGAATTCAAAAGACATATAAGAAAATATTTGAAAAATACTTCTAGTCTAATCTATATCAGGAGGTGTTATCGTACATAAACACATGCCCCATATGCCAAAAAGTGAGAACGTCTCCAACTAACATCATTCGTGAACAATTGGGAGTCGTTCCTATTCCTCAACAACCATTCGACTGACTCCACACCGACATTATCGGACCACTGCCGCAATGTGTGGATGAAAGTAAGTACATATCAATATCTTTTTGGGCTTCCAGCAAATTTATAGTTTGCACTACTCTTGTAGATCAAACGGCCGAGTCAGTAGTTGAGGCGTTTTCGAATGATGTAATCTCAAAACACGGTAAACCTAAAGAGCTGATCTCGGACCGCGGACAAACTACACAAGTGCAATATTCTCTAAGATCAATAAAGATCTTGGTATCACTAATAATGTCCTCACGAGCTACAACCACAAGGCTAATGTGCAAGGTGATAGATTGGTCAAGGTAATAACAGACTCTCTTACAGCATCTTGCTAAAAAGCCAGAGATCGTTGGAGTGACTTATTGCAACCCGTGGTGCAACAACAGGTTATAGTCCCCACTTCACCGTATATGGACGATGTCCCATCACATGGAGTGACATACTCCATGGACTTTCTTCCTCCACGTCATTAACATCGGATGTTTTCGCGGATCAGTTCACCATTTTTCTGAAGATTATCATCACGCACGTTGGCAAGGAGTTCGCCTCGAAAACTGCTATACAAGATCGGCTGCGATCTTCATGATAAAGTATACTCAAAGGATCTTCCTACTAGAGACCTAATCCTTTTGCAGGACGACACAGTTCGTCTCAATCTCACGAACCAGTGGAAAGGCCCTCTTGTGATTGAAGAGATCAGTCACCTCAGTATAACAATCGCTAATCTTGTAAGTCGCCCGTCGCGACAAGCAGTTAGTATTAACCGTTTGAAACTGTATTCTCCTCGTTCGATGCCACTTGAAGCTTCTAATACAAACATCACACAACCACTTGAACCAAATATAGAAGCATCGAATGGTATTGAACAAACAATAATACGACTATTTCAAAATACTGCTATCTCTGAGCTTCATTTAAACTTGTTGTCGT